CCCAAGTAGCTGGGACCACAGGCGCCCGCCACAACGCCCGGCTATTTTTTGGTTGCAGCCATCATTGTTGTTTGGTGGGCCCGGGCTGGGGATTCAAACCCGCCACCTTAGGTGTATGTGGGTGGCGCCTTAGCTGCTTGAGCCACAGGTGCTGAGCCAGAAACAGCTTCTTGGGGACAGACTGACTGAGGCTTGCAGAAGGCACCAGTAGGAGAAATGGGCTTGGAGCCAGCATGACCTCAGGCTCTCAGGACTGCAGCCACTTCTTCCTCCATAAGGGAGTGATGGCTATCTTGTAGGATTGAGTCCTGGTGGGTCTCAAGCATGGAGTACTTGGAGACAATATCCTGCAGGACTGTGCCTCCTCCACACTTCCCCTGCAGTCAGCAGCCACCAAAGGCATCCAGACATGGAATAACAGACTGGCCCTGCGTGGTTCTAACAATGTACACTATTTGCCATGACCGAAGCAGAAGGGCAAGACTGGGAGTGACCAGAGTGACAGTGGGCAGCGTGGCAGAACCGAGGCCACCCAGCATGACCATGAGGAAGACAATACAGACTAGTCCATCCAAGATGTCCTGAAGACACCTGACCCACCCTACCCAGGACTTTCGAGGGCACCAGAGAACTGTCAGAGCCCAAAGAGGCCTGAGGAGACATGAAGGCTGAGTGTCCTGGCTGGGGTCAGGGACAGGAGAGGTGTCGAAGGGAAACTGAGGAAACCCAATTCACGTGTGGGCTCCAATCCTTAATAAAAATGGATCAGTGCTGATGCATTGGTCCTGACACTGCTGTGCCATTAGGGAGACAGCTCGGGGTAGGAGAATCTGGGCTGCCTTCCCAAATTTTCTGTAACTTGAAAACTCCTAAATTAGACACTTATTTAATATTATAGACTCAGCACCCGTAGCACAGTGGTTAGGGTACCGGGGCTGGCGGGTGGGAACCCAGCCCAGACCTGCTAAACAATGACAACTACAACAAAAAAATAGCCAGGCATCGTGGTGGGCGCCTGTAGTCCCTGTTACTTGGAAGGCTGAGGTAAGAGAATTGCACTCTACCAAGGGCGACAGTGAGAGTGAGACTCTATAAATAAATAAAATAAAAAATACTGTAGTTATTCATGCCCCTCCTCTGCCCAGTTCCCTTCCTGCTTTGGAGAAAACAGCACTGAGTACCTGCTCCCAGGACTATCGCCAGTCTCCTGCCCAGGTGGGCTCACTTGCCTGTAGCACCACCCACCTGACTCCCACCCTGGGCTGCCTCATCCTGAGGTGGGGGTCTGGGTCAGAGGTCGGGTTCGCAGGCCCTGTGGGGGCAGTTGGAGGTTGCCTGACCCTGCGGGGACAGATGATGGGGGAGGGACGAGAGAGGGGAGCGCTCCGCCCAGCCCTGCCCCCTTCCCCTGTGGCTGCAGCTCCACTCAGGGTCAGGCAGAATCCTCAGAGCAGCCTCTTCACCTGGAGCAGAGTACGGTGAGTTGGGGGTCCTGTGGGCTTGGCCTCTCCTCAGAGCAGCCCCCTCGTCCTGCACTAGGGTTGGGGTTGTGTAGACGCTGCCCAGCATGTAGGCATGTAGGTAGACTCAGGTGAGTTATGTGGGTGCAGTCGGTGTGTGTAGAGGTGGCTGGAGCACCTGGAGGGCCCCCTTCTCTGTCCCCATGTGCAGTCTTCCACTCTTTTCTACCTGTGAACTTAGCTAAAATTAAACCCAGAGCATCTGCCTGGAACCTCTGTAGGGGCAGGTTGGGGTAGAACGGGACTCAGGCCCCGGTAAGACACCTACCTCCCCAACGCTTCTCTCAACCACTGGGAGGTTTTAGACTCGGACCTGCTTGTGAGTAAACACATGGCAAGGATTTGGGGAGGGGATGACAGTTTGAAGAGGGTTAGATCAGAGGGCCTGAAACTGGGGCTGGAGATGGCACCTGACTTCTATTAAATGTGGCAGGAAAACCAGGAAGATGTGGGCTGTCCACACTGTG